AATAGAAATGTCATTAGAGATATGTATTTTACTGACGGTTCATTTAAAAATTGTAGGAGAGAACGTCTTTCTTGCTTGACCAAATTAGAGCGAGATTCGAAAATGGAAGTTCGTCGCTTTCCCGTGTCTCTCCGTATTTAAAATTAAAAAAACACGATCACCACTCCACTGATTTAAACAATAGGTGATCGAATTTTTTAAACACGCAATTGCAATCGTACTCGCGCCGTTAAGCGCGCTACGTTACACAATCTCTTTTACATTTCGTTTCGGCGAAGATTAATCGAATTGTTCTCGCGATGGTGTAAAATTTCATTGGAAAACATGACGATTTGTTAAATCACGGCTAGACATCGGTACCTGGATATAACACAGACGATAATTGCATTCTGACTACTCTCTACGTGAGCATGTGTAAAGACGTTTCATCGTTCTGCTGCAACATCTATAATTACATACGTGAAGTACACTTTTCTTCGATTCTTAAAAACGACCGAATTGAACTCATGGTCGGGCACGTAAACGCTCCCCTGGTTCCACTGCGGTATTTGCGTTATGTATGTATGTATGCATGTATGTATGTATGTATGTATGTATGTATGTATATGTATAAAGTTCACGTGAAAAAACGTGATCAGACAGATATGACTCTTCAGAAGTGAAGTTCCGTATTGTTCTAGCGATGAAAATGTATACATATAGAGAAACATACTTTTAAACTCATCAATAGGGTCATTTTCCTCGCAAAAACATAGAACGTGCACCACTAGCTCTAGTATACATCATGTTCTAAGAGAAACATTTTCTTTTCAATTTCATCGAATAGAAAACAAACAGTTAAATCTATCTTCTACTTCTCCTCTTTTTTTTTTTCTCCCTTTTTCTTTTAGTAAATCTGTACAAAATCACAAAGCTCTGATTTGCCTGAATATCAATTCGTTCATGGCACTTTTAGTAATGCATACATAACAATGTTACAAAAGTTCGAGTTCACTTCGAACAATTCTACATTCCCTAACTTTTTAAAAGCAAGTGCCTAGAGCAAAGGAGCCACATCTCTATTGAAAATTTTCTAAAGCTGCCCCCTAACACCCAACCCCCTCCCATTTTGCGCCTCCCGCTCAATAAAATTTTCTCTCATTTTATACAGCTACAAAAATAAAATTTAAATGTACGTTTAGCTTATCACGATGTACGGCTTAATTTATACGAAATATTAGAAAGCGCGCTTGAAATATAAAAGAGAATGTACGTATGGTTATATAAAAGGGTGCAAATCGAACGGTGGGGGCGGGGGGGGAGAGGATAATTAAACGGAAAGAAATATCAAGATTGGAACTTGGTTATTTTTCTCTTTTTTGTTTGTTTTTAAAGGGCAGTCATCTTCGAGTTCTCCTGACAATCTACGTTCTCACACGCTTGTCTTCAAAGCATATCTCTGTTCTTTTGATTTCAACGAGGCTTATATTCTATCTCGCTTGTCTAATATCTCTTATTACGACAGTATTATCTAATTGTACATAAGACACTCAGCAGACGAACGAACACTTGTATTATCTCGAAAAACAACAGATCTTTAGAAACTCTCGGTTGAGTCCGCGACTCTTTCAGTTTGTCCGTCGAAAAATAGCGAATAATAATCAATTTGTCGATTATCATTGGTAACAATAGACTGATGTTGCTTTCTATGCCGTTTTACCGCTGTCCTAATTTAACGAGATTTAGGCGAGAGAAGGAAGTTGCAGGACCGTGTGACTAGATTATAATTTTATCCTCTAAAGAGAATCAATCCTCTTTTTCTCAACCAACGTGGGCGAAGCATATTGCCTAAAGATTTTTTATTTGCTATCGTCGTTATTATTATTATTATTATTATTATCAGTACTATTACTATTATTATTATTCGTATTGTTATTCATTTTCTTTTTTTTCTCTCTTTTACTTGTCTTGCGTTGTTTGTTACCTCCGCATCCTTGTTGAATATTATCTCTTCGCAAATATATACACGCTTCACAGTTCTATTTCGCTTCGTTTCTTTTGAAAATATCTTTCTTCTCTGTTCACAATGCGTTTGTACATTGTCTGAATTAATAATCTGCCCTAACACCAATTATCGAACGTATATCACCCTCATTAACGTTATCACGCTGTTCCTACAAGTTTTTGTATTTACACATACAGGCCAGTTAAGCGACAAAGTGTGGCGGCGTTGAGAATCTGCGGATATCTACGGTCCTGTGAACGTTATTACTATACATTTTAGTGGCTAACGACGTTTCTGAAAGAGGAACACTGACGTTGCGATCGCAGAGTGATTCTGTTTCGTATCTGTATACGTATTTAGTATGCATGTATATGGGATAGAAGGGGAGGATGCCGCGCGGAGGAAAGTTACGCTACGAAGAGAAACGGTGCTCCTGAGGAAGACAATTGGTGTCGGTGGATTTGCAACTGTGACCGCTCGTCTTCACCTTTCGTTTTTCCTCCCCGCTCAGTTTCTTCAACTTGTGAGACCGTAACGAACATATCAACAGCGTCTGATTGTCCTTTGATTTCTTTCCCTCTCGTTCCTCTCCACCTCCTTTGTTATTGTTCTCCGCCGTTATCTCGTCTTGCAGGTATTTCCCCTCTGAACAATTGTAGAATAAACATTTTTCAAGTGAATGCGACAAGCTTGCCGTGAATCGTGTAAAATAGTTACTAAATTGAGGGGGAAATTTTCGTTACAAGTAAATTCCATCAGGTTCGTCGTGATTCTTTACGGGAAATAAATGCACGATACGTTTGTCAAGTTTTCAGACCGAATTAAGAGAGAAGTTAAACTTTGGAGGAAAAATATTAAGAAAAAAGTCACGATTCAATTGTAACTGTATTAAGTAAATTAACGATTATTTGCTAATTTTTTATATTACTTTAAAATTTCGCTTTTAAAAGAATTAGCACAGCTTGGAAAGTTTGTCGCGAGCGTATAGAGCGAATATTTAATATTGTAATTTTACAGATGGAATCTTAAAGAAATATATAGAGGGTAGACCACGTAACTTGAAAACGGTTCAATATCTTGAAAAGTACGTGATCGATTTTAATCGTTGTGGCCTGAAAATTCATAGGTCCCAAGGCTTTTACATGTGCATCAGGGTTGACCTACATTCTATCTCCGTAGGAAGCGAGTAAGACAGGAGTTGACGTAAAAGATGCAATATGTTGATTCTATACAAACCGTTAAATTTCTAAGATACTCTCGAATTTCGATACATTTCACATGAATAAAACACGTTTCCCTTGGGACGTTCTTTTGTAATCGTACAAATTAATCATATTTCAAACCTACTATAAGCCACGATCATTCCTTTCTTCGAAGTAACTTGCTTCAATTAGAAATTTATTCTTAACACGTTGCGTACCGTGGAAAAATCACATTTCACCGGAACTTCGAAGCGAAGTTAAAAAGTCAAAGTTAAAGTGCTTTTTCGTGTAATAAAAGTTCTATTCTCAAAAATGACCGCGTGTACCATCGATGATAGTTCGACTCATTCGTGGCACGGAAGGTGTTAACAGTTCAGTTAACAGCAAAGAAAAATGATCACGTCGACGCGAAACGGCGTGAAAATGAAAAGACAAGCTTGTACTAATTTTTGTTCGGCAAAGAAAAATGATCACGTCGACGCGAAACGGCGTGAAAATGAAAAGACAAGCTTGTACTAATGGGTTGAGAAATATCGCTACTCTTTGGGAGTTCGTCCTATTCAGCTTTGTACCAACGCTATTGCGAAAGCAAAGAGAAAGAAAGAAGTTGGGCTGGCAAACCGTCTCTTATTGTCTCTCTGTGGTTAAAGGGCAACTAGAGCGTGGAAGAAAAAAGGTGAACGAGAGTGGTGGGTACCTTCGAGGACGCCGTCGAATATCGATCTGCTAATCTTCGAAACAGAGTTCTTTTGCCCGGCTTGATCCACTTCGCTCTCTCTCTCGAGGTTATTGTTTGTACGGAAGATCGACTCGAGCACTTGTTTGGAGAGCAACGGTGATACAGGTTGCTTCAGCCTCATCCCGTTCACGTTCCCGACGAAAACGTCACAGGTGTTGGTGTCGTTGTCGCACATGCTTATGGTCGAGGCGTTATCGGTGATAAGCTTCTCCGTGTCAGAATCGCCGGTGTTGCTGTAGTAGTTGCTGCTACTCTCGGATTTCTTTAGGATCGACTTGGAGATACGGTGATGCCTGTCTATGAATGGCACACCCTCGCTGTCTATCGAATCAGCGGACAGAGAAAGCTTGCTCTCGGTACTTGTTCCTGAAATTTGTCTTCGATGACCTGCGTATACAGTGCTTCCAAGTATTGCGCTGACCCAGAGCATAGAAGAGATCGATAGAAGGCCGAAGAATCGGCAGAAGACAAGACTAGAATAATTCTTTCAAGTTATCGAACAACGCGTTTAACCCTTTAACGCTCGTAGCCGTGTTTATTTTTCACGTGCACAACTAATCCTTGGAAAAAATGCAATTCTGTTTCGTTATTTTCTCTCACTTTTCGTATTGCGCTATCTTTTCTGTTCTACGGTGAAAATGTACGTTAGAGTATTGCAAATAACGTGGGAAATTTATTTCTATACGTCTAGGAATTATTTCGAGAAAAAATGAAACTGATCGTTTTTGGCGCAACGAGGTGAGAAAAATGTGAGCGTTAAGGGGTTAAGGAGATATCTATTCATTTCTAGAAGCACGACAAAATGTTTAATAGACTTGAAAATATTTTGTTGAAATTCCGGGAAAATGGTGAAAATCATAATAGACGTGGTTCCCTTTAAAACGGGTTTTTTTCTCGAAACGATTTTCATTAAATTAGATGACATAATTTTCAAATAATCAAAGAATTCATTAACTTCAAATTTTAAGTACATCTTCTATATACATTTATCCATCGTCCCTACCGTATTATAAAACTATAATCAATATTTATATTTTTATAACGAATTGAAGTAAAAGGATTTTGTCGTAAATGAAAGTTTGTCATTCGTTGACCGTTATTTTGTTTTTATTTCGTCTTCTATCGAATAGTTGAGGTAGAGGCAAGTTTATCGTTTCTTTTATTTCGAATGATCAGGACGGGCGTAATCATGTTAATCGTGAAATTGGAATTTTTGAGACCGACCACGCATTGAAATCTCTATCTCAATAGATATCGCTTATTTCTGAATATAACGCTGTGAAAATTCTAAGAAAATACCAATAGGTAAACATATAAATCGACAAGTTTGTAGATTTCTCAGTTCGTAAGCAAAAAAATTGATAAAAATTGCCCATCTTTCACACACTTTTGAGCAAATGCCCCTTTAAAGCACGCAACACGTTTGGCATGCATTAGACAGGTAGAAATATGTAATTAACGAGTTTAATATCGAGAATGTAACTAACGAGGGACAATCCTCAAGGATTACGCATTGAAAAACTATCTTTCTTATTAAAATCAGGAAAAAACCTTTGGTTAGAAATTTACATACACAAAATAAACAATTTTACAATAAAAAATTCACAAAAAGAAACCCTTAAAAAAACGTACCATTTCACATTTAAGACATTCTCACGAATTTAATAGTTTTCGAGAGTTACCGAAATCTTAATTTTAAAGACTGTTCTCAGAGTTAATTAATACAGTCTATCAGAAACCGGTCACCTTTCGTATCTTTTGTTAAGTTTATTTTATAAAAGGAAACATGTTAGCGATAAATAGAAGGGAGAAACTGGACAAGTTTTCAATATTATCAATATCAATAGTTTTCTTAAATTGAAGATTCAAATAACTCTATTTTCACAAATTTTCGTGTACATTTAAAAGACCCCAATAACGTATTACCTGCTATATATCAAGAAGACCGTATTGATACAATAAAAGTAACTTTTACACACCTTAAATAATATCATTCTAAAAAAAAGTTTACCACTATCGGGGATCTCCCTCATACAGTATCTTGTTCGCTTTGAAATTTCGGTAACAGATAAGATACTAATATTTATCAAATTACCCCGTATATTCACCGGAAAAAAAAAACAGTGTTTAAACAGAACAGAAACAATGTTTTTTCTTCTTTTACACAAGCTAACTAAACCTAAACTTAATCTAGCGTAAATAAAATTTCTCTTCGTTTACCTGTGTAATGTCTGGGTCCAGTGACAGACGACCCGAACAAATGATGATTTATAATTCTCGTAGCCGAGGCCAGGCTGCTGTTGGTCGTCGCAAATGGCCTGCCTCCAGGTAGCCCTCCGCAATAATTATTCTCCGGGATATTTTCTTTTAAACCGCTACGAGCCACGATACTTCCTTGGTCGCTGATAAATTGCGCGCGAGGTCTTACGCTCTGCAATCAGTCACAAGGGTGAGATAATACGCAACGCGTTATGCAAATCGACTCCTTTGTAGTACACGTTACATACACACGCACACATATAGATATCGCTTTCCTTGGTTAAATGTAGTTCGATTTTGGGAAAAGTCAACGAGAAACGACGAACAGGATTCTGGATTGAGAAATTGAAACGATCATAAACGATACATAATACAAGCTCATTTTTCTGGGATACTTTGGTGAATATCACACGTTTCGGGTTAGACGAAGCTTCTAGCTATAAAATGTATCAGGATTACGAATTTTCTGTCCATTGGAATTTTTACATCGTAAGGTATGAAAACGTTCTTTCTTTATCTACAATTTCTGATTAGTTCTTCACTCACTAGAGTTCATAATTACCTCATTAACTGGAGTATCTATCGGCAATTAAGAAAAATTAAAAATACTGTTCAATCAAAGTTAGTTGCAAGTAACGAACACGAAGATAATTTTGTCATAGTGTGTGAGGTATGTGCGTTTATGTGAGTTGAAGTGTAACACGGAAAAATAAATGGCGCAAAGGTCTTCTAAACAGGAAGTTCTTAGTCTGTAGTTCTCAGCTAAAATGTCTTTACGAAATTATTGTAATTCTACGTCTATAGTTGAAATTACATTTCCTTGTCTCCTCTTGTACCTGAATTTCACGAAACAAAATGTTCATTTCTTACTGTTTACGCATAACACGTGGTGTGTGTATATCGCATACTACTGGATTATCCTGTTAAACGCAACATTGAACAATCGCTCCTTCTGTTTCGACGTAACAGCTCGATCGCGGTACACTATTTCGCGATACTACATACACGGTTGTACGTCAAGTATGAAAACACTTGAGAAATGCAATTACAGGTACGTCCCGGGTCCCGGTGGTGGGGACCCACACGGGGAAGCCCCGCCTCCTTAATTGGGGGCGGGGCATGCCCCAAGTACTCGTGTGGGTCGCCAGGGCCGTAGGACTGTCGG